GCTCAGGTCAGAGAAGGGAACATAGACAATGACAGCTGAGCAGACATGTCTTGGCACACTAACCACTAGATAATGATCTAAGTGCTTCACTCCAATTGTCTTTTTAAGTTTCAAAATAAGTCTAGAATTTAGGAACTATTATGACTTCTGCTTTACAAGTAATAGAATGGAGCCACGGCGAAGTTAAGTACCACGCTCGGGTCTCAGAACTACTCCACAGGGGAGCTGGGATGACAGGCCCAGCCAGGCTGGTTCTGGAGCTGTGTCTGTGTAGCTGTGCACCAGGCTTTTCTCCCTTCACCGGCCAGGATCTAGACTCGGTTGTGGGAAAGGAAAAAGATATGTTAAGCACTGAGTGAAAGGCAAGAATTTGCATGTTTGTTGTTTGTTTTCTGGAGAGCATCAAGAGCCCAGGCCATCTAGAAGGGAGCGTTCCTGTGCCAGTAAGTAGGAGATACAATTAGGAGAAAGTGGGGGCCAGCTGGTGGATGGTCTCAATGGCTGGGCTTACAAGCTTGGATTCCATCAGGAATTTTAATTGGGAATCATGGTGGGTGTGCGATCAGAGGAGGAACAAAATGAAGATGGCAGTACCTTTTTTGTACCTTGTCAACATGTTAATGGCCTCTGAAAATAAAGTACGCAAAATAAGGAGCGTTGGGAAGGTGAAGGAAAAGCTTCCTCATCACCAAGCTCAAGCTGTCTTTTAATTACACATTGTAAAAAGATGGAAATATAGCCAGGTGTCCTGACCAACTTTCCCTGTCTCCGAGAGACAGGCTCAGATGTACTCGTCAATAGTTAGCCAGTGTTAATAGTGATGATGTAATCATGACCTAGCCTCACCCATGTTACTTCATTTCACGTCCTTTATGTAAAGTATTTCATTTAATCTGTGCAGCAGTCCGTTCAGAAGAGAAACACAATGCCCAGTTCTAGAATCTCAGGCTGTTAGAACAAACTTTCATGTCATCCCCACTAAGGCTCAGTTTTTTTCTACAACATCTTACAGTCAGTAGAGTCACTATGATGGAGCTTTGGAGGGGTGGTGGGGGTGCAGAGCCAATGGCCGAGAAAGAATTCTTGAGATATCTTCGGTGCAAAAAGGTGATTTTATTAAAGCACGCAGACAGGACCTGTGGGCAGAAAGAGCTGCCCTGGGTTGTGACGAGTGACTGGTTATATACTATGCAGTCAGGGGAGGTAGTCAAAAGGGAGACTTCCAGAAGGACTTTCATATGTTAAAGAAATATCTTAAGATTCCTGAGCCCTAGCTATTGTCAAGCTAAGGTTGTTTTCCATCTAGTAAGGCATTAACATTACAACAGTAGGGGGTTCCTGGAAAAAACTTTATACTCTATTTGCCTCAAGTAGCTATCAATGGGCTACAGGTTATAAGGAAATTTAATTTTATCTGCCATTTCTGTCTTTGTTCCCCACATCACTGTGTGGGGTGGGTTCCAACATCCCTAGTCCAGGAAACTAAGTTATATAGGTTTCTGGAGATTAGATTATTGATAAGATTGCCTTCTATAATTTGCTGAGATATTTGTAAACTGACAGAGACTCCTGTCTTACATGATTGCGATCTCTATCAGTTAACCATTTGTTTTCTTTCCTTTTTCTTTGTTTTTGGACAGCCAGGAGTGCCTGAGGAATGTCACACACACACTCTGGGGGGGGGGGGGTGCTTTGCTTTGCCCTCCTTTGCCTTAAACTCACTCATCAACTGGACTCTAGTATCCTGCCTAGTGAGCCATGTCTGCTTCTGGAGCAGCATTTCACAGAGAGTGTCCCCAACCCTCAGCCTGCCAAGATCCTCAGAAGCTGAGGGTTGGTGGGGTGCCTGGGTGGCTCAGTCAGTTGAGTGTCCAGCTTCAGGCTCAGATCATGATCTTGCAGTTCATGGGTTCGGGCCCGCGTGGGGGCTCTGTGCTGACAGCTCAGAGACCGGAGCTGCTTCGGATTCTGTGTCTCCCTCTCTCTCTGTGTCCCTTGCCCACTCATTCTCTGCCTCTCCCTCTCAAAAATAAATAATAAGACATATTTTTTAAATATTTTTTAAATTTATTTCTAGGAGAGAGAGAGAGACAGCGTAAGCAGGGGAGGGTCAGAGAGAGAGGGAGACACAGACTCTGAAATAGGCTCCAGGCTCTGAGCTGGCAGTCAGCACAGAGCCCGACGCGGGGCTTGAACCCACGAACCGTGAGATCATGACCTAAGTGAAAGTCGGATGCTTAACCGACTAAGCCACCCAGGCGCCCCTAATAAAACATATTTTTAAAAAGCAGCAGCTGAGGGTTGGGGACAGTGCCCACACCCCCTTGAGTACATGAACATGCATGGCACTGAGTAGGGCATGTCCCTCAGGGACATATGGCAACCATAGAAACCTTGTGTATGACAGCTAACAATGACCATTAGAGTCCCCAGCTAGCTCAGTTGTCAATAACTCTACTGAGAATCTGCCAGAGGGTAGACACTGTAGGAGAAACAAAAACGAATGAGACTTGGTCCCTGCCTTTAAGGAGCTTTATTTTTTTTTTAATGTTTTATTTATTTCTAGGAGAGAGAGAGAGAGACAGCGTGAGCAGGGGAGGGTCAGAGAGAGAGGGAGTCACAGACTGAAACAGGCTCCAGGCTCCGAGCTGGCAGTCAGCACAGAGCCCGACGCGGGGCTCGAACCCACGAACCGCGAGATCATGACCTAAGCGAAAGTCCGACGCCTAACTGACTAAGCCACTCAGGCGCCCCTAAGGAGCTTTATTTAATATGAATCTCAGAAGTAAACTGGGATTTTGAAATATGCCTATGTTCCAAATAAGTTCTGTAAGAAAGCAGAGCGAAGTGGCTCTAAAAATCAAATTAGTCCACTACCTAACAGCTCTGTGAGCTTATGATTAAATGACCCTCTCTCTGTTCCAACATCCTTGTCCATAAAATGAGACAGAGAAAGGTAGGTTCCTGTGTCATAGCATTGAGGTACGGATTGAATGACTCAATGCATGCAAACTTCTGAAAGCAGGGCTTGACCGTAGAAAACATTCAATAAATATTTATAATGATTATTATTATTTAAACTACCAATGAGTCTTCTATCACTGCATGAGTCAAATCAGCTAGAATTTTTATGAAGTCAGCACAAGAAGCCCTTGTCTGTCTGTTACTTCAGGAGTTAGAGTTTATCTTTACACAGTAACATTGTAATAGATGATGCTTAGCTCCCAGGCACTCAAACAAAAGGCTCATTAACCCCATGCTATCACTTAAGACTTGCATGTTTGTAGCTTAACACATTTAAAATCATTCTATTGCAGTAACAGAAAATAAATGGAACAATGATAAAAATATAATCAGTAGCTTTTTATTTATTTTGAAAGTTGGTACTTGAAGAAAAACAGGGTAGAATTTTATTTTTTTTTTTTATTCTTTTAAAAGTTCCATGAGAAATCCTCTTTATTTTGGGGTTTACATATTATTCAAAGTAAAAACAAAAACAACCCAACAACCAGTGACTTCAACACACAAAGCCTAAAATCTAATCCACTGGTAAAGAAATCACATTAAAACTAAATAGAATGCAATACGAGAGGTACAGAAAGAAGGATCGACAAGTGTGTTCGTAAAGGTTGTGTTGGAATTTTAGTTAACAGGCCTTTATTGCACCCACTCTGCAAGCAGCGTACCACAACAGGGTAGAATTTTAAAAGGATGAAAAGGAATGTGGAAATTTGTGACAAGAGGAAAAGAAACATCTGTATACTTGAAAAGTTTTAGAGATTGACACTCTAGTTTTTTAGAAAGTCTTATTTTATTCACTACTTATATGGCTTTTGTTTTCAGCCATTAGTAGAAGTGGTTTTGCACCTGCACATGGAATTAAAAAAATGGACTAAAATAAGTTATGTTTCCCTTAAAACTATGTGTATACACATGGGAGGAAAAAAAAACTGTCTGGAATGGAATTAACTCAGCATTAAGAAATAAAAGCAGGCAGGAGCCTGGGTGACTCTGTTGGTTGAGCTTCTGGCTTTGGTTCAGGTCATGATCTCACAGTTCGTGAGTTCAAGCCTCGCATTGGGCTCACTGCTGTCAGTGCAGAGCCTGCTTAGCATCCTGCCTCCGTCTTTCTGCCCCTCCCCCACTTGTGCTTTCTCTCCCCTTCCCTCAAAAATAAATAAATATAAGAAAGAAAGAAAGAAAGAAAGAAAGAAAGAAAGAAAGAAAGAAAGAAAGAAAGGTGGGCTAGAGTTCCCCCAAAGAAAAAATATGTATCAGCAGCTCTTGACTTTCCTAATTTTAACCACTGCAAGTTTCAAACCTGCACTTTTACCTGGTAAATATTGGGACCCAGCAAATGATGGACTTAAGCCCTTCCACAGAAGTTTCGGCTGGCCAACAGTACAGTACGCCATCTTTGTTTGGCATTGTTTGCCATGTGATTTAATACCTTATTTTGTTTTCCCTTATTTGCATTTTTAAAATGTGAAAACAAAATTAAAATGTGAGAACATTTAAAAATAAAGAAAATATCAGGATGCCTGGGTGGCTCAGTCAAATTTTTGACTTCAGCTCAGGTCGCGATCTCACACTTCATGAGTTTGAGCCCCGTGTCAGGCTTTATGCAGATAGCGTTGAGCCTGGAGCTTGATTTGGATTCTGTGTCTCCCTCTCTCTCTGTCCCCTACCCCCGCTCACATTCTGTCTCTCTCTGTCTCAAAAAGAAACATTAAAAAAATTAAAAATATGCCTGTGGGGGCGCCTGGGTGACTTAGTCGGTTAAGCGTCCGACTTTCGCTTAGGTCATGATCTCGCGGTTCGTGGGTTCGAGCCCCGCGTCGGGCTCTGTGCTGATTGCCAGCTCAGAGCCTGGAGCCTGTTTCAGTCTGTGACTCCCTCTCTCTCTGACCCTCCCCTGCTCATGCTGTCTCTCTCTCTCTCTCTCCTAGAAATAAATAAAAATATTTTTAAAAAAATAATAAATAAATAAATAAAAATATGCCTGTGCCCTGGTCATTGATAGTGCAGGGAGAGGACTTGCGGAAAGCACTTCCCCATGTTTGGAGGGTCCACCCCATCCCTTCTGAACCCTGGAGCTTTCCCACACTTCAAAAAAAAAAAAATTAAATTAAATAAAAATTTAAAAATACGTAGACCACACAAGTAGAACACAATGGAGACAGAGAGGATTTGTCAAAGGAACAAATTCTAAGTCTCAGTCAAATGTCCACTGATTCACCTGTGAAGGAAAAGAAGAAAACTAAAGAATGTGTGCCGACTATTAGAAATACATATTTGAAGATTGTGAAATAAAAGTGAGAATTCGACTATCATTTTGGCTCTCTGGAAATCAAAACTCCCATAACATATACATTTATTTAGAAAGATATCTATATATCTACAGACATAGAATACATAAATCCAACTGTTTAGTTTTAATTTTAAGAAATGCTGTGCAAAGACACAGTAAGATGGCAAACACAAAGCCAGGAAGCGAGCTGTGCTCGGTGAGTCCCTGTGCTGGCCACCAGGGGGCGCCACGAGCTCATAACTGCCTGGCACTGGGAGCAATGAGTGGGGAAGGGCTGTTTCCAGGGCGGATGAAGAAGGAAAAAAAATCAACTTGCTTTTCATGCATTCATTCAGCTGACATTTTTTTCAAATTAGCATTTGTAACCTAGAGACTGCCAGAGATGTAGGATGTAATTAGGTTTCTGCTGTGTCACTAAGATATCTTGTATACAAGTTTTTAAATGTAGTCTTGTCGGTAACTGACTTCACTACTCCATTCTCTCAAGAGCCTGTAGAAGTATTCCAGTTCTGTTTTTTTTTTAATGTTTTATTTATTTCTAGGAGAGAGAGAGAGAGAGACAGCGTGAGCAGGGGAGGGTCAGAGAGAGAGGGAGTCACAGACTCTGAAACAGGCTCCAGGCTCTGAGCTGGCAGTCAGCACAGAGCCCGACGCGGGGCTCGAACCCACGAACCGCGAGATCATGACCTGAGCGAAAAGTCGGACGCTTAACCGACTAAGCCACCCAGGCGCCCCAAAAATATTCCAGTTCTGACATGGTCCTGTAGCTTTATCTGCCGGAGGAGATAATCTTATCTCTTTGAATTCTGAAACGCCAAATCTAAGTAAGAATCTGACACCTGACCCTAAATGTTTCTGTCTTTAAATTATTTAAGCCATTGTACTTATGTTTAGGTGCATAAGTACTATTTATGTCAAGACGGGAGTCAGATTCCAGACCAAACCAAACCCCCAGTCAGGCAAATGGCAGCTGTCCAGACCCAGTCCGTTTCCACGGCTCCGCTCCTCATGAAGATATGTACTGTGGCTGCATGATAGGTATGGGGACCCCTTTTCTGGCCTTAATGCTGTTCAGTAGTTTGCTTTTGCCTTTCAGCTGTTTCCTCTTGCTGCCAGTCTGCTTTCGAAAGCCTAAGTTCCTTTAAACCACTTAAAAGACAACTGGGCTGCATGAGAAATTGTGGCTGGTAAGTCTCACTGGCTGCTAGTGTAGGGCCTGCTTCGACCCAGAAAGCTGGTGGGGACCTCACATTCCAGGGTCTGCCTCTCCTTGACACACAGTCCAAAAATCAACTTAGGCAGGGCATGATGGTTGAGTCTCATACTACCACATTCCCTGGAGGTAGTTACACAAAAAACAATGAGTTGCAATTTATTAAATCATAATGAACAACTAGAGCATAGAAATAATGATGGAAGCACACGGCTTAATGGGAAGAGCTCTTGGGTTTGCTGAAGTTATTTTAACAGATGGCAGCCTAATCTATTAAATGTGAGTTCTGTTGGTTGATTTCCCAGTAGGAACATTATTTCCAAGTATGGGGAATACATTTGCCTGTAATATCGCCTACATACTACAATATGAATGTGTCTTATTTTATAGTTACTGTATATCCTGAGCTCTCAGGGTCTTAACACCATAAAGGTTTATTTCTCAAGCATGTTGGTGTTCCTGGTCAGCGGGTTCACCAGGCAGCTGTTCTCTAAGCAGCAAATTAAGGGATTGATGCTCCTTCTATCAAGTACCACTGTCCTCAGGTCTGGGCAGTAAGTGGGGGGAACCAAGTCTCCTTATGTAGGGCAGGGAAAGGTGTGTGAGAAGCGTGAGAAGGAGCAATTAGAGAACCCTACATGGAAAGGCACTCAGAGCTGGGAGACTTAGAAAGTGAATAGGAAACAAACACAGGGAAGGGACGAGAGGCAAAGAACTCTTCACAAGGTCAGCCTCAGCGCAGCAGCCTGGCAGTCAACGGAGTGAACTGGGAACCGGGTTACTACTGCTTGTCCTGGTGCACTTGCCCTGACTTATCCTGAGTCAGAATTCCTTTCCAGCTGTGCTTGGGAAGGTTCGGCTGACATGTGGAGCTGACGCTTGACGTCGGCACTTACAGGTGGTCTCGATCTCATCAGTCAGTGTTGCTTATAGCTCTTGCCATGTTATTGTGCGCATTCACGGCCCTATCTGCTGCTAACAGGAGGTCATCCTTGCAAATAAAGTAAAGATTAACATGAGGACTGCCAGCTCCCATCGACATACTCATGTTGAAAATTCACCTTACCTGTGTGGCCCTTAATGGGAAATACGTATATAAAAATATCTTAAGGGCACCTGGCTGCCTCAGTCAGTAGAGCATGAGACTCTTGATGTCTGGGTTGTGAGTTCAAGTCCACATTTGGAGTAAAGATGACTTAAAAATACAATCTTCCTAAATAAATAAATAAATAAATAAATAAAAATTTAAAACGTCTAAAATCTGGAGCACCTGGGTGGCTCAGTCGGTTAAGGATCTGACTTCAGCTCAGGTCATGATCTTGCATCAGTGAGGTTGAGCCCTGCTGACAGCTCAGAGCCTGGAGCCTGCTTCAGATTCTGTCTCCCTCTCTCTCTGCCCCTCCTCCACCCATGCTCTGTCTCTCTTAAATCTATGCATTGAGATAAAATACCTAATAGATGATCTTAGTCTCATGACATCTCTGAGAGGCTGAAAGGAGGGGAGATGTTGTTTTCTCTCTTAAGAGGAGAAAAAGATGTATATGCGAAGGGTGATAAATTTAAATGTCTCAACATGTAACAGAGCTAGATTGGAACTAATGTTTCCCTTTTATTTTTTGAATAGGCGTTTGAATGCCTACTGTGTGCCAGGCACCTAATGCATCTTTTGCTTTACTGCTCTGTTCTCCTTCGAAGGGAATGTACTTACATTAGCAGAGAAGCATAGCATTCTACCATTATATTATTTCAACCAGATATTCATAACAAGAAGTTACACAGAGGTAGAGCCTGTGATGTTTGAATGTTCTGCAGAAAGCACTAATCACCTCTGATCACTTTCATTCATTATTTCTTAATAATTGAAGCAAGAGCTAAGTCATCTTCACAGCCTTAGAGGAATTCATGGGGGCACAAGTCAGAGATAGTGACTCGGAGTTCTCTCCAGTTGATAAAGTGCCTTCAATTAAATGTCCTCTAATACCATCCTCACAATTTTCTGAAGGAACAGGACCAGAATTATCCTCATCACATAGATGAAAATGAGATGTGGGTGTTAAAAGGATTCAAGGACAAATCTACTCTTTCACTCTTGATGAATCGGAACAGTATCTGAAGAACCCAGTTGGGCGTCAGGAATGTGGCAAGAAAGTGGTCGTGATGAAATATTCCCAAATTTAATTTTACCCAGCTGACAAATTGTGACAGTTAGATAAATCTTGCTGTCTCATTGAGAAGTTCATCCAGTTTTTGACAACACATACAGGCTTGGACTTGCCGCATTTGTAGCTTCAAGCTAGCAGCACTTTTATTATTTTTTTTTAATTCCAGTATAGTGAACATACAGTGTTACATTAGTTTCAGGTGTACAATATAGCAATTCAACAATTCCACATATTACTCAGTGCTCATCAAAACAAGTATTTTCTTAATCCTCATCACCTATTTCTCTCACCTCCCCCATCTCCCCTCCAGTAACCCTCTGTTGGCTCTACAGTTAAAGTCTGGTTTTTTATTTGTCTCTTTTTCATCCTTTGTTCATTTGTTTTGTTTTTTAAATTCCACATATGAGTGAAATCATATGGTATTTGTCTTTCTCTGACTGGCTTATTTCTCTTAACATCATATTCTCTAGCTCTATCCATGCAGTTGCAAATGGAAAGATCCCATTCTTTTTTCTTTATTTATTTATTACTAGGCACTTGGGCTGCTCCCATAATTTGGCTATTGTAAATAATCCTGCAATACACATAGGGGTGCATATATCCCTTCGAACTATGGTTTTTGTGTTCTTTGGGTAAATACCCAGTAATGTGGCTACTGGATCATAGGGTAGTTCTATTTCTAACTTTTTGAGGAACCTCCCTACTGTATTCTATGGTGATTGTGCCAGTTTGCATTCCCACCAACAGTGCATGAGGGTTCCTTTTTTCTACATCTTCACCAACACCTGTTGTTTCTTTTGGATTTTTTTTTTTTTTAACTATTCTGTCAGGTGTGAGTGGTATCTCATTGTGGTTTCGATTTGCATTTCCCTGATGAGTGGTGATGTTGAGCATCTTTTCATGTGTCTGTTGGCCACCTGTATGTCTTCTTTGGAGAAATGTCTGCTCAGATGTCTTCTGCCCATTTTTTATTGGCTATTTGTTTTTTGTGTGTTGAGTTGTATAAGTTCTTTATAAATTTTTGGATACTAACCCTTTATCTGATATGTCATTTGCAAATATCTTCTTCCATTCTGTGGTTTGTTTTTTAGTTTTGCTGGTTGTTTCCTTTGCTGTGCAGAAGGTTTTTATTTTTATGTAGTCCCAATAGTTTACTTTTGCCTTTGTTTCCTTTACCTCAGGAGACAGATCTAGAAAAATATTGCTTTGGCTGGTGTCACAGAAATTACTGCCTGTGCTCTCTTCTAGGAGTTTTCTGGTTTTAGTCCTTAATCCATTTAGTCTAATGGATAGACTAATCCTACATTTAGTCCTTAATCCATTCTGAGTTTATTTTTGTGTGTGGCATAAAAAGTGGTCGAGCGTCATTCTTTTGCACGTGGCTGTCCAGTTTGCCCAACCATTTGTTGAAGAGAATTTT